GTAGTACAATGCCAAGGGAGGTCAGAAGAGGGCATCGGGTTCCCTAGAACTAGAGTTAAGGATGGTTGTTAGCCACCATGTGAGTGCTGGGAACCAACCCCCAGTCCTCTGCAAGAGCAGCCAGTGTTTTTAACTGCTGACCCATCTCTCCAGTCTTAAGAAATTTGAATTATTTGGGGTTACATATTTCATCCTTAAAATTTTCATGTTAGATGATTCTTGGGGAAGACTCCAAGAAACAGGGCATTGGTTGGATCACAAGTGTTCAGAAAGCAGAGGTACCACCTCTGCTCATCCTAATGACTCTTCATCTAGAGGGAAGGAAGACTAGGCTGAAAGGAGGGCTGCAGGTGGGGAGGTTCAAAGACACTTGATATTCTCCAAGACAGAGGAATGTTTGGTATTTTATGGCTTGGGTCATGTTTATGTGTGGGCTGTGTACAAGTGGCCTGCTTCTGTCTTGATTTATCTTGGTCACAGAGTGATCTTATCTCATGTTGATATTCTATAAAATCACTTATGATCAAAAGAAAACCATAAGGCCAAACAGCAAGTGTCAGGCTAGCTCATGGTAGCAGTCTGGCTGACTAGACCAGTCCATTCCATAGCAGTGCTTTACCATTTCTCAGTTTTCCATCTGGGTAAAGGACTTCAGTGCATGATGCTCATGGTCATTGTCACAGAGCTCTTGCTGATCAGGAGAAAGCATAACCTATAGTTGAGCCAGGACTGGTCACCTGCTCTGTTTGCTGCAGAATGAGATTTGAACAGAGAATGTCGCCATTAAGGACAGGACATACCACCAACTCCAACATAGGCAGTGATTACACATGTCGCAGTTAGTGATGTATCCTGCCCTGACTCAAACTTCAGTGAGTATAGAGAAGTTCAAAGGTTGAAGCTACGGAGCCTAATTATCTTGGGACATCTTTAACCCCCTTGGTAGCCACTCTTTGCCCACATTTGTGTCTGCTAAACATTCTTGTAACTATCAGGTGAATCTTTCCGAATGTACTAACTTAGAGGACACCCAGCTTCCACCATCTCAAAAGCTAAGAGTGTCATGAGATAGGCCCCAAGGCCTATAGCAGAAATGTCCCCACTTTCCTGTAACCTACCTACCTGATATTTCTATCAGCGTATTTGAAAAATATCTTGATTTATAGCTTTCTTTCTTTTGTTGCTATAAAAATGTCATGAAACTGCTACCACATTAGAACATGCAATTTGGGATAAATTAATCTGTGCTCCTGGGCCATGGTCACTCATATTTGGATCCAGCATAAATAATCTTTTATGTCCTTAGAGTTGAAAGTTGTGTTTCTTATGTCAATGGTTGACAAAGCCAGATGACAATTTCTTCTGAGATTCATCATTGGTTTATGAGTTTCTCTTGTATTGTGTGGATGCAGCAGGTAGTATTTACGATGGGTACATCTTCCTGTGGGTGATTAACAGAGGAGACTGATGGTGCAAACTGTCCTTGCCCTTTCTATGAAATTTAGGCTCATTTTCTGGGTACTCCTATTAGAAATGCTATTTCTCTTTCTCTAGAGTCAATACCAAGTCTTGAACCAGTTTTCCATTGTGAACAGAAAGTATTTCATATAATATATAGTAAGAAAGAGCCAAGGACTCCTAAGAGATTTTTAAAGCATGTCTGTACTTCACTTTGGAGGTTATGGGCAACATTTCTGTAGTTAAAGAACATGGCTGAGAAAAGAGGAAAGGGCCCCAGGGCACTGTGGCACTAAAAAGTCAGAGGCTGTGGAGAGTAGCAGGTGAAGTGAGATAAAGGAAAGGTTCATCAGGGGCTTGTGAGTTACCATTAGACAGCAGCCACGCCTAGGCATGTGGCCAGTGGTGGCCAGTGGTAGATAGCATACATGCATCCAACCTCCAGCATGCAACACTGCCCTCAAAAGAGGACAAAAGGTTCTAGTGTGTCATCTGTCTATAAATAACAGTAATTCACTTTTTAAAACTTAAAGACAGGATTTTGAATGTTTTCATTATAAAAACAAATGCTAGATCTTTGAGATATATATAAACTGATTCAACATACACTTGCATTGACATAAGATACCTCACTGACAGATGCATCAGTATATAAAATCTCATCTTGTCAGTTAAAGGCTTGAATAAAACAAAAGCTCTGAACTGGAAACCCGATATAAAGGAAAGCTTGGGAGTCCTTGGGAGTCCTTTGATAACCTTGGCACTAACATCTTTCGTTAAAGACGTGGCTCCAGACATGGAGCAACCAGAAGTTTTCTTTTCAGCCTCAGTGTAAGAGTTTAATTTTGTTTGCTTTGTAAATTACTGATATTTTTTGTAAAATAAAATTATTTTTGTAAATTACTGGTATTTTTTGTAGCAAGAAACACAGTGCCAGAAAGGAAAAACCTTCCTTTGAGTTATTGTTCAGCCTAGTCCAAGAGACTCCAAAAATGACAGAGGCTATCGCCACAGCCCTTGATTGCTTCCCAGAACTTGAAGGTAAGGCCCCATTGCTGAAGACAGGACGTACTTCAGACACAGGACTCGGAGCAATGGAGCTGGAACTGACCTGAAAGCCACCTCTATGAAGACTAGCTCTCATAGTTCTAGAGGATACTATGCAAGCTGTTAAGAGGGAAAATGAATCAATGGTCCAGCCCAGTTTTAAAACCCATTAACTATAACAATGACTGACACAACAAACTACATTGACGCAGTAGTGGCACTTTTATCTTGAGGATAATCAACAGCTACCTAATTGGACTGAAAGCCTTCTCAATGTGAGGGAACTCATTTTGGCACTATAAACATAGCCAAATACACATGGCTGAAGAGGTCAGAGGTCCTAAAGAAAACCCTATGTCTGTCACATCCCTAGACAAACATAATTTCTTACTATATGCCAAATATGGATCCTTATATTTACAGACAAGAATATCAGTCACCACTCATCAAAGCTTCTTTTACAACAGAGTCTAGTACAGAGTTCCACAAATGGCCACACACAGAAAATAAGTGTAAAATACCCAGCCCTAAGTGACACATCAACAATGGAACCTCTATACCTAAGGCTCACAGAACATAATGAAACAAGGGATAGAGAATGCGAATGCATCTCTCAACTCTCATCATCAAAGATTCCTCATACAAGAGAAGGCCATGAACACTGGAGGCCACAACAGGCCAAAATGTAGAGAATAAGAGACTGCAGAATGTGTGTCCCTGGATAGGACTCCTATATTAAACCTCAGCCACTGAGAACTCAGGGACCATTGTGGAAGTGGGGTGTGGAAAGATTGTAAGAGTCAGGGTTGGTGCAGGACCATAAGGAAACAGAGTCGTACAGGCTCCTGGGAACTTGCTCATATGAACTTATAGCAAAGGTTACAGCATGCACAAGACCCGTGCAAACTCAATCAGATAAAAACCAGTATAGAACTGGAGAAATGGGCAGGTGGCCCCAACCTTAGCAGAGGAACTATTGGTAGCTGACCAATGCGGGGTGAGGGAGAGCTGATATTTTTTAAGGGAGTGATAGATAGGCTAAACAGTCTCCAGGGGATGAGCTCACACCAAGAGACAGTTGGGTACACAAACTTGACTCTATGAACTTTAAAAATATAAGACAGAATGTGGCTATGGGGGGTTACAGATAGGGGAGGTCTAAATATGATTAAAATGTATTGTATGAAATCCACAAAAATATGCATCAAATATATTGTATAAACTTCAACAAAAATACATCAAAAAAGAGTTTAATTTCATCTTGTTTTGTAAATTATTGGGTTTGGTTTTGTTCCACTGTTTTTGGGAAGTTGGGGTTGTTTGTTTGTTTTGTGTGTACGCATGTACCAAAATCGGACTCTGGGAACTGTTAGCTTAGAGCAATAGGCTGGAAAAAGATATAAAAAGAAAAAAACATAGAAAATTGTCATCACTGAGGCAGGCATTATCCTTCCAAGGGGATCTAAAGTTCCTGTGGTGTGACTCTACTAGCTACGCATAGGTGCTGAGGCCCTGAGAACAAGGCAGTGCTACCGGACCCTGTGTGCCACTTTGAATATTAGAACTGAAGCCTGGGTGCCAATTTTATCGTTGAAACTCTGCCCAATGATTTGTTTTTCAATGTCTGTAATTATAGAGTCAAGCCATGAGACAATTGCTCATTATATCCACAAGCAATAGATGATATAAAGATAATTGCTCAACTTCATGCTATCCTTCTGAAAACCTGTAACACAAACCACAAAGCCTGAATTATCCTCAGGTTCTTTTAGATGGTAGCTCTGGCTATATGAACACTCAGGAACTGACTCAGAATAACTCTAAGTCAGAAGTTATTGTAGAAGACTAACAAACTGGTTCCGGGATGTAGTTAAGTGATAGAGCAACAGTTTAACACATACAAGGCCCTTGGTTCCATCCCCAACACCAATAAATAAATATATAAATACAGAAATAAGTAATTTATCTGTAATATGTATGTTTCTCATTAAGAAATACTTGAAAAGCTCATTGAAAAGCTCATCGATACATAACAAAATTAGAGTAACACAAATGTCATCACACTCACTGAAAATTAGATTTATGGACATCTAATTAAAAACTATCATAAACAGTTTTTGGATTTATGTCATATCCAATCATAAACTGTCAAAATATTCTCTCGTCATATTTTTTTTAATTATTTGTATATGTGTTAATATGTACACATGCCTGCAGGTGCATGTGGAAAACAGAGGGTGTCAAATCTCCTGGAGCTAGAGTTACAGGCAGTTGTGAACCATCCAACATGGGTGCTGCGAACTGAATTTGGGTCCTCTGCAAGAGCAGTACATGCCATTAGCCACTGGGCCATCTCTTCAACCCTCTAGTCATCTTTCTTAAGAATGACTTACTTTTTACTGAGTTTGTCTTTACAGTTGTGTTATTTTCAAATGTAATGCCGTGTTCTGTTAGGTTTATTAATGCCAACGTATTACCTTTAAAATTAAAGTGCTCACATTTGTTCGTGCTTCTGTTTAACTTATGGACAAAGACTTATAGAGTGGTGCCAAAAAAATTCTTCTTCACAAGCCCAAACTCAATGTTTAGTGTGAATTTTGATATGTGTTAGAAGGAATATTGTGAAAAGAGGAAAAAATATTTAAGTCTATTTTTCATTGATTTGCTAAGAGCCATGTATTATTGTGAACGCATTCAGAAATTGTTCAAACACCTAGACACCCCATGCAATTTCCCCAGAGAAGTAGTCCCTGTGCCAGTTCAGTGAAGTGACAAACTTACCGTGATTTTCTTTATCCATTTCTACAACTGCTTCTCAGTCTCCTTTACTGTTGCTTCATCTTTTGTCCATAATCATTGGTGCATCACAGAATTCTGGCCTAGTGACCTCCTGCTTGCAACGTACCCTTTGCCTAGGCAGTCTATAATTCTGGCTTAATTACTTCCCACCTAGAAAGCCATAGCATCTGGCCGTCTTTCAAAATGACGCAGATCAGTCATATTATTCGACAACCTAATCATTTCTAGAGCAGCCACCACATATGAAGGCATGATGTTAGAACTGAGAAAGGGAAGTTAAATGTTGATATTGGGATTGGAGGGGTCAGAAGTGTCCAGGGTCCTCTGAGTTTTCAGTGTCACTGTGTCACCCTTAAGGACCATTTTGTGCCTCTCTCTCCCTCTCTCTCCTCCCCACCACATCCTGAACTGTTTGTTAGTAAAGAACTCCACCTCAGTCCTTGAAAATGCTGTTAGAACAAAACCATATGAGTAGAGAATGTATAACCAAGTCATTGAACTCCCTAGGCCACAACAATGAATGTCAGCATCTGGATACATAAAGCGGGCCTACCCAATAAGTTCATTCTCTTTTTTCTGTGTAGCCACAGAGATTTTCAGGGACTGTCTAGAGGGTTCAAGATTGTACAGTTAGAAGGGGTCTCGAGACTCAAGTTAGACTCAAAAGCTTTTTTACTAAACTAGAACTTGTGAGAATGTCAGCTGAAGTCAACCTTGTCACCTCAGAACACCAAAGGGGAAAATTACTCTTGATGGTCTGATCATAAATACAAACCAACTGTGAACAATACAGAATAAAGGGCTTGGGACTAGAGAGACAGCTCAGTGGTTAAAAGTACTAGCCACTCTTGCCGAGGACCTGGGTTCGATTCCCAGTACTTACACAACAGCTAACAAGCATCCATAATGCCAGCTCCAGGGGAATCCAATGCCTTCTTTCTGACCTCTGTGAGCATTGCATGACACAGGCACACTTACACATATGCAGGCAATATATTCATACACATAAAATAAAAATAATAAATGGGAAAAGGAAGGGGCTTATTCCTAAGGGCACAATTTTAACAGCTGTTGAAGAAATCCATGAGAGCTTTGACCTCAGTGTCTGGGGAGGGGCCTGAACTTGGCATGTAGGAAACAAAGCTAAGCATCAAAGACAGGAAAATAACCAGTTCAGACCTTCGAAGACAGAAGAAACCATGAAGATAAACTGGGAAACCCAGGACTAATGGGAAATAGAGTTGTTTCTTCCTAATATTTTGTCATAATGATGAGGAAATGGACTAATTCAGCTCTCAACACTCATAACAGTAACAGTTACATCCATTGAGGCATATCCCAAGTTCCTGATTCACTTGTTAACAGGAATTAGTGATGCATAGCTATTATTCATAGTCACAACTCCCATATGGCTACTAAGGACACAAACAATTAAAGAAACCATCTAGAGCAGCAGAACAGAAGCAACTGAGACCTGCTGACAAAATAGCCCCTTCTAGTGACAACACAGGCCAAAGAACCCTTGCTATCCCTTTTGAGTTAGTCATGATACACCTGAGAGATGCTTGGTCATTGTGATTTTCCTCCCATGCTCATTATCCAATGGGAGTTTTAGTGCAGACTATTCTCTGTCAATATGTTTTTCAGATAATTGAACACTGTATGGTATTACACTGTTGGCTTTGGGGCTGTGAGGTATTCCACTCAGAACTAATGAACAAGAATTAATGTTGACCAGAGGAATTGGGTAGAGTGACAGACAGTAAGGATTTTCGGAATAAGGTTCAATTTGTATACTAAGTGGTGCTACAGCTTGATGGAATGACCCCGAAGAGTGCTTATGTCAAACCTTGATTCTGTGGGCTAGAAAGATAGCTCAGAGGTTGAAAAGACTGATTGCTCTTGTAGAGGACCTGGGTTCCATTCCCAGCACCCACATGGCAGCTAATAACTGTCTGTAACTCCAGTTCCAGGGGATCCAACACCTTCTTCTGACCTCCAAGGGCACTGAATGACATGGGTACACTTACATACATGCAGGCAATGCACTCATACACATACACATAAAATAAAAATAACAAATAAAATATTTTGAAAGAGCTTGGTCCTCAGAGAGATGACAATGGTGAGTGTTCTGGGCGTCCAAGAGGTGGGGACCTGCTGAGAGTCCCTTAGGCTGTTGGCAGTCTGCCCTGAGGGATTATGGCACCATCGCCTATTCAATCATTCTTCCTTCTACCCTCTCATGACATCAACACTTCATTCCCCATTAAGCACACTTATGGAAGCACACTTATGGAATGAAGCACCACTTCATTCCCCTCTCTTGCAATGCAACCTCCAGAACCATAAGCCAAAGCAAACCTTTCTCATTAGCTAATTATCTTAGACAGTGCAATAGAGTAACCCATGCATGAATACGGCCAGCCAAAGGGTAGACAATGGTAGACCTTAGATTTTTGTTCCTAAGCTGTCAGGATCCAGAACCCCATGTTACTCAATGGGAGGCTCTGCCCTCAGGTTTAGAGGTGAGGAAACACCACTAACGTACAAATACTACACTGAGTTTGGATCACTCAGTTAGTGACCAAACTGACCTAATCTGAAGAGTTTGGAAGTGACCCCAGAGGTATTTCCTCCTGATTTAATCCGGGGAGGATACTGATGGAAGAAACAGCTGAATACACATGTAACAGAAAGGAATGGAAATAACAAAACGAAGGCCAAGAAACCGGGTCCTGCTAAATACGTAAGCCCCTAATGCTAGAGATCAAAATTTAGTTTATCTAACCCTATATTTTTCAGTCATACAAGCTAATTGATGATCATTTTAGTTAAAAGCACCATCCATTCAACCTGGAGATTGCTATCAACTCACCAGTGCTCAGTTATCTATTCCTTTCTTAAGTTTATTCCCCAACTTCCCGAATGGCTTTACATGTCTCCAGTCACTACCATTCCTAAAGCCATAACTAAAGTGTATGATCTATCTATTATGTGTACTTTAGATATGATAGAAAGGTTATATTAATTTTGGGGTTTTGTTTTTCACATTCTTGTCATTTTCAGCTTTCTACAGAAAATTACTGTATAGGATTCAATCTAATTTATAGCATGGTATAGGCAGAAACAATTACACAGTCATTTCTAGAACATACAGTCCTATTGAAATCTATTTTAAGAATGCCACTTCTTTTGTGAAAAGTTAAAATTCTTGACTAATACTATGTATATACATAATTTTTTGTGCAGTATAGAATTATAGTGAGAGTTGGCTCATAATTATGTTCAGACTTTGTGTGCTTTTCTTTTGTTGAGTCCTTAAAGAATTTCTTCTTTTTTTGACTCCTCTTTCGGAATTTGACTCCAACTTCAGTTGGCTGAAAATAATACCTTGCCAGAGGCTCATAAACACGAGTATTTTAAGGCTGATGACACAGTCTTCCTAAGGTTTATGCCTTCAGTGTCTTACTTTAAAGTTTAGGTGGAAAACAGATGCAACTGTAGGTCAGATGCCAAGACTGACTGGAATTTGAACTGGGACTAGCACAATTATATTTTTACATTGGAATATTACAAAAATATCATATTGTCTCTTTCCTTTAGCTCAACAAGTTCTACACTGGTGTTTTATAAGCTGTTTTTCGTATGCTGTGGTACAATGCTAACCACATTTAATAGGAAATGGCCCACTGGCTGAATGCCCATTCATTGTGCTATAGCATTTTCCCTTGACTATGAAAGAACAATAAACCAAGAAGTTCGTCCTTCCTTGTTCATTCTGGAAAACTCGTGCCATGAATAACATAAAGCGACCTTTGTATAGCCCAACAATTGATGGAAATGCTTCGTCTAATAAAAGGGATGCGAGAATATCCAAATTAAACACCAAAAAGTGGTTACTGTGGAAACCATGTCCTTATGTCTGTACAATTCTCTTAAGGGATATCATTCAAGACTGTGAGTTGGGTTATTAATAGCTGTCAACCCTACAATTTTCTCTTTGTGATGAACTCTTATATTTTCCTGTATTTATCATATTTTATGAATATTACTATTTATTGTAGTGTATGACTGTGAAAGATGACATACAATACCATCCTTAAAGTCTTGGTAGTCTTGATGTTCCCTACAATGTATGAGAACAGTTAAAATCATTCAGGTCTTAAAATGAAGCTGGAAAGCTTGTGAATGCTGGCATCCATCAGAACAGCTTACTTTCAGTTTGGATAAAAATGATGTCAGGAGACAGAAAAGTGAACCAAGGAAATGGAGCTTTATACCGTTCACATTTTAATTGCGGTCCATTTGTTCCTCCCTCTGCTTCACATACAGTTGGGATTTCATACTTTATACTTTAAGTACTTGGAGTGCAGGTGAGAATGATTACAAACCTAAGACACTTAGGAATCTGAGCTTGATTTCTCACCACTTGTAGGAATCTGTTCACTTTCCTGATTTCCTCTGAACCTTGATTCCATTGGCTATCAAATGAGAACATGATCGTTTGCTTGATAATTTGTTATGAACATATTAGATGAAATTAATAAAAAACACATAAGCAAATACTAGGTGTCCCTCAACAAGCAGCAGGTAAACTTTCTCATGGTAGCCTCCTGCCTAGCAACATCAGCAGCAGTGATACTGTAAATACATACTTTGGGTCAAACATCCTATAAATGCCATCTCTCTCAGACAACATATAAACTTATAGATACTTTTCCCTTGTTCTGGCTGCTATTTATTTAGTTTGCCATTAATGCCTCATGTTTACAAATAGTGTATTCTTAAGCTGGGAGAAAAGGTCACTGGAAGTTGACAA